TGTGGTTTTTTTTTTTTTGCCAGTACTGGAGCTTGAACTCATAGCTTGTGCACTGTCCCTGAGCTTCTTTTGTTCAAGGCTAGTACTTTACCACTTGAGCCACAGCACCACTTTTGCCTTTTTTCTGTGTATGTGGTACTGAGGAATCAAACCCAGGGCTTCATGCATGCTAGGCAAGCATGCACTCTACCACTAAGCCACATTCCCAGCTCCTCTGTTTTAGTCTGGAAAATGTTTTCAGTTTCCCTTAGTTTTTTTTGCATTGAATTTTAAGAAATGGCACTTGCTATTTTCATAGCATCCTCCATTTAAGGGTTTTTCCCCACCTCATAGTAAGGGTTTTTTTTTTTTGTTGGTGGTGGTGGTAGTTGTGGGGCTTGAACTCTGGGCCTGGGCACTGTCTCTTAGCTTTTCAGCTTAAGGCTAGTGTTCTACTACTTGAACCACAGTGTCATTTCTGGTTTTCTGATGGTTAATTGGAGATAAGAATCTCATGGAGTTTCCTGCTTGGGTTGGCTTTGAACCAAGATCCTCAGCCTCCTGAGTAGCTAGGATTACAGGCCTGAGCCACCGGCACCCTGCTAGTAAGGTATTTTTTAAAATTAGAATACTGCTTAAGTGATAGTCTCTCCTAGGGTATCACATATTAAGGCATATGGTATTTGTTCCTTATTGGTGACATTTTACTTGGTTAGACTTTAAAAAAAAATTCAACCTGGTTACTCTTACAATTCATAAGTAATTTCAGGGGAAAGTACTTCTAGATTATGTAAATTATCCCATTCTGCATAAAATGTGAGGGTTTGTCATCAATTGATAAGTCTTGCCTGTCAGGTTTATTTTTATTTACTTTTTGTCAGTCGTGGGTCTTGAACTCTGAGCCTGGGTGCTGTCCCTGGGTCTTGAACTCTGAGCCTGGGTGCTGTCCCTGAGCTCTTCAGCTCAAGGCTAGCGTTCTACCACTTGAGCCACAGCACTACTTCCAGTTTTCTGACTGGTTTATTGGAGATAAGAGTCTCACAGACTTTCTTGCCCAGACTGGCTTTGACCCACTATCCTCAGATCTCAGCCACCTGAGTAGCTAGGATTACAGGTGTAAGCCACTGGTGCCTGGCTCCAGGTTTATTCTTAAGGTTGCAAACTGATGTTTTCTTTAAAAAATTTTTTCCTGAGCTGGGGATCTATGATGACTCAGGCCTGTAATCCCAGCTATACAGAAGTACATATCAAGGGGATCTGGATTTGAGGCCAGCTGGGCAAAAAATAAGTATCTTAAGAATCTGGGTATGGTGATGTGTTCCTGTGATCTGAAGTTCATTAGAAACTAGAAGGTAGGAAGATCATAGACTGAGATCAAGCCTGGAGCAAAAATCAAAACACAACTTGAAAAATAAAGCAAAAAAAAAAAGGGGTTGGGAATATCCCTCAATTAATAGTGCTAAGCCCAGTTCTGCAAAAAAAAAAAAAAAAACCAAAAAGAAAAACCAAGTAATTTTTACCACTAGGAATGTGGCCCAGCAGTAGAGTACTTTTGTACATACCGAAGGTCCTAGATTTGATCCCTAACAGCATTAAAAACACTTTTTTAAAAAAGCAATTTTAAATTGTTCTCTAGGTTTGGTACATACTTAGGTTGGATTATGTTTGTTAAAAGTGATACATAAAACTTCATTGGGGGGCTGGGAAGGTGGCTCAGTGGTAGAGCGCTTGCCTTGTATGCCTGAGGCCCTGGGTTCGATTCCTCAGCACCACATAAGCAAAAAGAAAAAAGCCAGAAGTGGCACTGTGGCTCAAGTGGTAGAGTGCTAGCCTTGAACTGAAGAGCTGAGGGACAGCACCCAGGCCCAGAGTTCAGGCCTCACGACCGGACCCAAAAAAAACAACAACAACAACAAAAAAAACTTCATTGGAATGGAATGAGGTCTTTAAGATTCAGAATTGCTTTCCCCACATCAGTTGTTTCTTAAGCCTTTCCAAAGAATGTAACGTTACTTAATTTTATACTGTAAATACTGTAAAATATTTGGAGTAAATTATAATTCATTGAAACTTCATTACTGATTTAACACTTCACTAAATTTGTCCTTGTCAATTCTGTTCTGAGGAAATTGTTTTATCTTCATTAACAAGGCATGTGCCTTCTTACAACCATCCCTGACAAAACTTTTATGGGTCATGCTTCAGGCTTCACTTTGAACTGCAGGGACTAATAATTTCCAGAGGTCAAGAAAGACAGTTCTAAACTATTTACAAAGAGGAAACCCCACCCCCCACTCTCATCCCTTGTTCCCTTTTCATTCTATACATTCTTTCAAGCTTCAAGTGACTTGTTTTGGGGTTGGGAAAGGAATATAGTATAAAAAAAGTGATTTGGGATCTATTGATCAGCAGTTAAATTGCTTTTGAATTATTTCCATAATTTTCTGTAAATTTCTATGTTTAAACTAACTTCTGAGATGACGTTCTAAAGTAACATGAGCCACTTCATTTTTATTGGGATCTAATTAACCTTTATTGGGATTTAATGAACCCTTAGGAAATATATGAGGGACTTGTACAACAGGACCAGATTCTAGTTGATCCTCCACAAGACATCTTGGCAGTTACGTGATAAAGAGTAAAGAGTCACTATACATCTTATTGCCATCCATGATACATTATAAAACTTGTCTACATAAAGGCCTCAGACAGGCAAGCAATGAATGTAGTCTTAGAAGCTCAGGTGCATTTTATAATAGCCACTGAGGACTTTTTTTCCCTTGCTTTGTAAATGTTTTTTTTTTTCACTTTTTATTATCAGGATTTTGTTGTTGTTGTTGCTGTTGTTGGTTGTGGGGCTTGAACTCTGGGCCTGGGTGCTGTCCCTGTGCTTTTCAGCTCAAGGCAAGTGCTGTACCACTTGAGCAACAGTGCCACTTTCTTTTTTTTTTCCCCACTTCTGTTGGGGAAAATCTACCTTATACATAGGGTGTATACAGATACTGAATGGGCAAATACTTAAGACCCAAGCAATACTTATTTTCTTACTGGCATGTGACTTTTTTTTTCTTGCTTGAAATAAAGACCTGGTCTAATCCTGCTGGAATTCCTATCAGTAACCCAAGGGAGCTTGAGGTATTTCAAATAGTTGTCTTACTTGGGTTTAGCTAAAGTGTATCTCCTACAAGTTGTCAATCTGAACTGTAAGTAAAGTTTGCTTCCAAATGTTTAAATATCTGAGAAATGCCTTTGTGGTATGAATTTTTTCCTGCAACTAGCTCAAGCTGTTTTCTATAAGAGAATTTAAAAGGCAGAGAGTAAGTTCTCCCTGGGCTTTCTGTTTTATTTTTGTTCAAAGCTAGTATTGAACCACTTGAGATACAGCTCCACTTCTGGCTTTTTGGTGGTTAACTGGAGATAAGAGTCTTATCTGGGTGATCCTCAGATGTCAGTCTCCTGAGTAGCCAGAATTACAGTTGTGAGCCACTAGTGCCCCACAAAAGTTTGTTGTTTTTTTTTAAGGTATCTTTCCATTGGGGGTAACATGTATATACACACACCTTAGTTCTTGGAGTAAAATATAATATTGGTAGCACAATACAGGTTTCTGTATAGGTTTTATGAAACTGGCATACTTTAACAAACCAAACAATGTGGTTTTTGTTAATGCACAGTGCCTCACTGCAAGGACCTACTGTTGAACATTCAGAAAAAAACAACTTCAAATTCAAATAACTTGACCATTTACCTTTACATGGCTACCTTACTAAAACACTTTTTAGGGAATTGATTGATACATTGCAGTAGTTTGCTACAGGTTAAAAAAAAAATCCATTCTGCATAGCAGGATTTGTTTTCTGGTTTCATAGTTTATATGTTCTCTAACTTAGGTAGTCCCTAATCATAATGCCTTAAAATTTTGGGATTTTTTATTTTTATTTTTTGCCAGTCCTGGGGCATGAGCTCAGGGTCTGGGCACTGTCCCTGAGCCTTCTTTTGTTCAAGGCTAGCATTATACCACTTGAGCCACAGTGCCACTTCTGGCCTTTTCTGTTTATGTGGTAGTAAGGAATTGAAGCCAGGGTTTAATGCCTGCTAGGCAAGCACTCTACCACTAAGCCACATTCTCAGG